AGATCTCAAACAAGTCTATTGCCCAGGCCATGCCAGATAGATAGATAGATAGATAGATAGATAGATAGATAGATAGATAGATAGACAGACAGACAGACAAGAGCGAGAGAGAGAGAGAGAGAGAGAGAGAGAGAGAGAGAGAGAGAGAACATCTCTTCTCACTCTCTTTGCATTAGCCACTCAGTTCATTTTGCTGGAACAGAGACGGACAATCTGAAGCCATGTAGTCCTTGAACCTTTATTTGCTGTCCTTGGAGCCACTCTGATTATGGCTGCTGAAAACTGATAACACGGGGAACAATAAAATGATAGTGTACTGAAACTCAACATAGTTTAAAATATAAATAAACTTTCCAATGCTCATAAAACCTCAAGAACCATTTGGAAAAGCATGGACCAATCTACTTTGCATTATTATCTGCCACTTCAGCCTTCCAAAAATATTAAGTGCAACCCCAATCATGAAAAAGTGAACACCCTGGGCTGTAAACTGCCTTGGGACAACAATCACAAATCCAATTTCAGACAAATTCCAGATGGAATTCTTGTGCCTTTCTTATATCAGCTAGGCTTATTGGTTAATACTAATGTCCAAGGACCCTTGGAAACTGTAATTATGTATTGGGGCACACAATTTTTAGGTTTCCAGGAGTCATACTTTTAAAATGTTACTGTCATTTTTTCACAGTCAGATGGGACAATGACACTTATGTCATGCAAGTGGTTGAGACCTATATTTCCATGGAGAGGTGAGAGTTGTCCCATTAAACCTAAAAGAAAGATTACATACCCTTTCAACATCCTGTCAAGTAATATTAAAATCAGTGCCTCCATTTTTCAGTAGTTTGCCTCTAACTTTTGACTGGGTGAACTCTACGGTTCTGAGGTCCACAAAAAGGGATTCATGGACTTGGTTGTCTATATGGCTGTTTCTGTATGAAGAACATAAAAATAACTTAAGTGTCATAAGAAAAGTATGGTTTTATGGTTTCTTCAAGAGAAGGCATAAAAGTAAAATTGGTTTGACTCTAGAGTATACTTGCAATTTGGGTGTGTACTCTAATCCCTAAACAACCTTTGTCAACCTAATGCCTTCCAGATATGATGGACCATAATCCCATAATTTCTAGTCATGTTCTTTGCATAATCCAGCACATTAGGAGAGCACCAGATGGGGGAAGGCTGTCTCTAAAGTCATAAGACATCGCTTTCTACTGTCTTCTCACCAGCTTAACAAAGTTGTGCCTGCTTACTCAATACAAGACTCCTGTTGCTGAACTGGGCAATATATATAAACTCTTCTTCAGTGATGTTCTCTGTAAAGAAGCATTTTATGGATTTCTTAGTGTTTATTCCACTCTGTGAGCCCACACAAGCCCTTGTCATTCTCCAAATACCACAATTAGAGAAGAGGAGCCATGGAGAATAGCAATTACAATTTAAAACTTATTGCAGTTCAAAAGAAAAGAATGTTCTTCTAAATCAAGAAGAATGAGAATATGGAGACTATAGGCTGATGGGTATTTGTTTTAACAGGTTGGCCGGTTTCAGCTGTTCCACAATTTGAGTTTGGTGATCTTCATCCCTCGCTCCCAGTTGACAAACCTCTCTGAGATAGAGAACCGTCTCAGTGCATCAGCCTTCATGTCAGCCTTGACCAAGCTAGAGGCCATGCCTCTGAAGCCAACAATAGTAACCCTACCAAAATTTAAGCTGGAATCATCCCAAGACCTTAGCACAATCATTGGAGAAATGGGTAAGAAAAATAAAAAAATTAAAACAGTGGGATCATTAGAGATGAGGACAATATACTTGCTACTTTCATCATAAATGACAGGTTAGATCAGTGAATGGTGGGGGGAAAAACGTCCTCCATGCCAACCCTGGGCATATTTAATTCACTCCAATTAATTAGCCTTTTTCTGAGAAGAAACTGCTGTCATATCTTTTGCTCTTAGAGAGGTCTCTTGGCATCATCCAGAAATAGAGATATTCTCAAGAAGGATACCTGGCACTGGCATTTCTCAAAACTTAGTGGAAATAAATGATTTTGTTTTCTTTTTCCCACCTTTTCTTCTTCCTTTAAAAAGGAAGATAATTAGGGCTTCAGGAGAAGTCCTGGTGTATAAAGAAGTGCTCACATCTCATCTTTGCTCCTGGGATTAACTTTGGAGGACAAATAATGAGGAAATAGGAAAAAAAAAATGTTCTCTTGCCCTGTTTTCAGTGCAGTTCTCTTGAATAATATAAAATAATTAGAGTGGGGAAAAGGAAAATGCTATTGAGGCTTTTAGGGTTGTTTTCATCTTAGTCATTTTGGCCTCCCTTTGTGAGGGGATACTTGGATAAATGGCTATAAAAGAAAGGAAAGAAGAAAATAACAAGAAAAAATAAAAATCATATCACATGTACAAACATTAGGTAGTAGAAGTTGACTGAGTATTGAGTTTTTAATTAATGTTTAATTAAACAGGAAGCTTTTAGTTAATCTAGCTGGGAGACACTGCAGAATGGGATTGACTTGCCAGTATATATCACAGAAGGGCCTTTACAATGAGGGAGGGCATTGCCAGTTATTAGAGCAGTATTTTATAAATATATGTCATAATTCCTCTTTAAATAATTCTGGAAAACCAGCATGCCTCAGCTGTGTACAAGGCTATAATGTGGAAATTACCTGGACATGGTGTTTTGCAGATTTAGATCTATTTTAGTTCTGTTTTTCAAGTGTTGAGCTGTTTCTTATGCATCCTTTCAACTTTTTCAACTTTTCCTTTCAGATTTTGGCTTTTTCTTTGATCCTGACTTGTGTGGGATCACTCAGAGTAAAGAAGTAGCTGTGTCCAGTGCCAAGCACAAGGCTGTGCTACAGATCTCAGAGGAGGGAGCAGAGGGAGCTGCTGCAACAGCAGTCATCTTAGCACGTACAGCCGCTTTCTTTGAAGTGCAACAGCCTTTCATATTTTTGTTTCTGAAGGATAATAGAGTCCCACTTTTCCTGGGACGTGTCAATGATCCACTGTCATTATAACCTTTCCATGTCCTCTCAGCTTCCATCAGTGGGATGAAGCCAGCTTGCAGATTGCCCTAGCTCAGCCTGTATAATGTAGGCACAAGGTTTGTGGAGCTGTGGTTATATGCAACACATTTATTTAGTCTCTTCTTTTTGCTCCCATTAAAAGGTTCTTGTATCTTTTCATTCTATCTTTTTTAAAAAGATCTATTCTCTGCTTCATATCCTTTTGCCTCTATGAGCCTAGGAGAAACCCACCTCTCCTCATTTATGCTGTGTATGAAGAAAGTTGAAAAAGAGAGGCTCCCTTTTGGCCTTCCTAAAGAATAAAGTGCAATTGTATTGACTCCTTGGACTGTTATTGCCATGTCTGAGACTGAGATTTACTGGAGGAAATTTGGGGTAAAAGATTTTTGCTGATAGCCATTATCATACAGCACGTCTAGCCATGATGACCTCAGAACCTTGAAGTCAACTCTCAGTCTGCATGATCGCATGACACTGGCTAATTTGGAGGTCTGAATCAACCTTTTCCTTCCTCAACGCTATCTTAATTTGAAATTTGGAGCAGTTTGTGCTCTCCGTGGAGGGAACCCTGCCTTGCCTTGCCTCCTAAGCCGTAACTCTTTCTTCCCCACCTGCCACCCATTCCGTTCCTAGAGCCTGAAGTTTGCATTTATCCCATTCTGCCTCCCCCATGCAACCAGCATGGTTAGAAGTACTGGAGAATGTGCCCAGATTCACAACAGATAATATGCTACCATTCCACCTTCTGAGACTTTTAAGTACAACAATGGTCAAGGCAGCTTGGCTTCTTTTCTTTTGCAAAATTCCAGTTCTTCCCATAATAACGTCCCTTAACCTCCCATCACAGCAACATGAAGTGGGGAGGGAAGCAGAGGGGAGGGGAGCAGAGGGGAGGGGAGTATGATAATCTTTTACAATGTCCTTATAGGCACAAAGTAGGAGAGAGGAGTTGCTACTTGAGTAACTCGGAGGACAAGGCATTGACTGAATAATAACTTTGAGCATTCCTGTTGGTTTGCTGGGAGTGGAAACAGTGCTGTGTAAACTAGTTCTCACAAAAAAGAGAGGTGATTAAGCTGGGTCTCAGTTGAATTCTTTAGACTGCAAATAGGTATTGACATAATTGAATGGTCTTCTGAAGGAAAAAAAATAATTCCTTCCATTGGAGGCTTTGCTAGCAATGGACTGCTGATGTATTATTAATTAAAAAACAACAACCAGAAAGCAATTCTGTAGGCAACCCAGCCATAATCATGGTTTCCTATGTTTTAAATTGCTTTTTTTAAGTATTATTTTTCTAAATAAATAAATAAACTGTATAGCAAGTTGCAATATTCTATCCCAGGGGCATTTGTTTTATTTCGAACACTTTCTAAATTGGCTGCCTTAAGGATTATCACTTATGCCTAGGTATCTTTCTCAAGACTTGGCAGTCACCATTTCCATAAGCCTACTGAGAAAAGAGCATTAGCTATGGTACTACTTGTCTGCCTGATACTTGTGGATGAGTATGATACTAACACAGCAGAGCCAAGAGTCCTGAGAAAAGTGAACTCCTACTATTTTTCTATTGGAAAAAGGAATCCAATCTTCTGTGAACTATTCACACTGTTGTTTTGAGTGTCCTTCAAAACTTCCAAATAAATAGTTATTTTACTAGCAAACTTTATGATGTGGGATCTATTATCTGGGAGGCAGATGATGGAATTACATGAAAGCAACTGATTAGACAACACATAAATGTACGGACATTCCTCTAGTCAGTAAGAGTGTTCAGATCAGGAAATTTCTATTCCTTTATGAAATACAGTACAATGAACTACTTAGAAAGAATCCAAATTTATTTTTAACATTTTCAAAGATTTGTACTCCATCCTTAGAGTCACCAGAGAACATAATGACTGACCAAACAATTATTATTATTATTATTATTATTATTATTATTATTTGCATTCATACATAAATAATCAGATAACAAAAATCAGTTGAACTGATTTCATCTCTAACGTGCACATGGTGTCAATCAATTCTACTGAAGCATTTGCTTCAATCCAGAGTCAGTCCTCCATTCAAATGCACACCAACTTTTCAAATGTAGTGATAAAAATAAGGATTTTTTCCCTCTTTGCAGGAGAGATAAAACCAGCATCAATATAAGAAAAGGAAGCCCAAGATGCCATTATCTGAAAGTGAGAAAGGCACATCCAGATCTTATTAGAATCCTGGCATTCCAAGATGAAATGAGGGAGCAGATTCCAGAAGAAGAAGAAATAATGTTTTAGTGGCAGCTTGTCAATTTGCATGGCACAAGGCAGTTTAGTCCAACAACTGGCAGGTTATAAAAGACCTGAAACAAAATTTCCCAGCAAAGCCCTTCTGTCCAGACAGAGAATCCCCATCCCTGTGCTCTTGGACTAGACACAAGACCAGCTCTGTTGCAAGCACAGGTGAGTGACAGGAGGAATGAGGGAGAAAGGGAAAGTGCACAGACAGTGAATGTTCTATTTCAACAAAGCTTAGAAATCCTTGGAGCCTTTGGAACTGGCTAAAAGATGCTAACCTGCTTCTCTAACTAGCACCTAAGGAAAGGAGTCCCACTCAGTGTTGTGTGTGTGTTTTCTCTTAATAAATTCCTCCCCCCCCCACTTAGTCATAATCTTGCAGCCATGTGCAAGATTAGCTTCTTCAAATCACATGGTCACAGGCATTTGTGAACTGCTCATCAAAGTCAATGGGAGGAGCCTCAGCTTGTGCTAAAAAGGGAGAAAGAGAGATGAGTGATTGCCTGTAAGATTAGAGCTTGTTGGATTTTCAAAGGAAACTTGTGTAACAATGTTTATTTACATCCTCAAATTATTCCTCCATATGTATGTATGTATGTAGCCTTGGGCTGGAATTCAGGGGAAAGACCCATTAAGCCCAGTGAGACTGACTTCCTAAAAGGATATGTACATTATTGCACTATTACATATAATTTTTGTTTGTACAGAACACCTCTTCAACATATATAGAAACTGCCTATCCACTATAACAAAGTAGAAAAATGATGTTGATTTTTCCTAAGAAAACTCTGGCCTCAGCTGGGTGACCTAAGGCAATAATCATTCAGTTCCACCATGCTGGTCATCTCAGCTACAAGAAAGGTTGAGCTGCTCCAAATATGCAAGCAATTCCTGGGCCAGGTGGGGTCCTTTGATAAGCTCATGCCACCGGGAATCAGTGGAGGTCCAGGAGATTCTGCAGTGAGTTGTACACAAGGCTGAGGGGTGTCGCTGAAGAGAAAGAGGAAAAAATATGTATCTTCCATGACTGTCTACTTTTCCTCTAAGGAGCTTAAAGTAGCATACATGTTAACCCCCCACTGACAACCCTATGAGGTAAGTTGGCTGAGAGAAAGCAATTGACCCAGAGACATCTAGTGAGCTACATGGTCATGTGAAGCCCTGATGTCTCTCCTCCTGAGCCCTAATTTAATATTCTAATCTGTACATGAGAAAGAGTCAAATGTCCCAATTCAATTATACAGATTCAGCATGTTTAATGCAAGGTAGGGTGATACATGCAAATGAAGTGGGAGAGAATCCTATTTTCTTTCCATGTGATTTTTTTTTTTAAGTCTGAATGTTAGACAATGCCATTATGGAACTTACTAAGATTACCCAAAATTTTGCTCTGGAACCATTCTTCTTTTAATCCATGCACAATCTGAAAGTCATTTTGGAAAACCAGTGATTACACAAATAGGCCTAAAGGAATAGCTGTTGTACCTTCATTTTTTTAATAGTATTTTCCAGTTGATTGAGATACTTCTGGCAATATTCAATGCTGGGCTGCAGTGTCCTGGACTCTCCAACAATACCTGCAAAATGCTGAAAGCACCTAGTGTACTGACACAACCATGTATCCTGTAATACAAATGGGGGGGAAGGGGAGAGAGACACTAAGCAGGAGTATTATTGGCCAGACTCAGGTCATTTCCTCATTAGTGATTTATATCCCTCCTTCCTAGCTTTAGCATCATCTAACCACTGTGTGTGTATAACAGTCATAAGGACAGGGCTTATATTACTTCAATGATGGCTTAGTGACACTAGAAGACTAAAAACCGCTAGTGAAGAAATGTTTTAGTGCCATCTTCAAGCACAAGAGAAATCTTTGCCCTTGATGGAAACAAAATCTAGGCCCTTCATGAGCACACAAATTCCTACTCTGAAGCTGCAAGAACCGTGAAAGCCTTTGGCTTCTGACAATGCAACGCTTGCCAAGGATGTTGCTGCTTTATTCCAATAGTGTCTGTGAATGACAGGGACGGTGTCCACAACCCATGGAGAGGGGCTTCAGGCTTGCCATCCGGTTAGAATAGGTCTCTGGGTGATTATTTGAAAAACACCCCCCCCCAACTTCACAAATTCCAGGGAACCTCAACAAAACCTGGCTCAAAGCAGCTTCTTTTTCCTGGGTAAATTGCAAATATCTCATTCTTACTTTTACCCAGACTTTAGAACATTTAGGATTTTAAACTTCTCCACACTGTTGAATTGAATAAGCATTCAATTCTTATCTGATTATTCATTCATTTGCTTATTGCTTTCTGAGAGTTGACTAGAGTCAATTGCTGAAGTCTGTAAAGGCAATTCTGAACTAAGTCCATAGCAGCTTTCAGGCTAGTGGAGCAGCTGCTCATCTTTCCAAATGCCTTCTTACCGGATCCATAGATTGGTCTCTGAAACTATCAGTACAGACAGGTCCTCTGAACTCTCTAACTTCAAAGCCCGCATCCTGCAAATTAGAAAAACAATAATAAAGTTTGGATTTAAGAACTGGCCCTAAGCCATTTCAGTTACAAAACAGTAATGAGTACCTTTCCATTCCTTTGGTTTGTGATAAATAACGTCTCCTAATAGTGATCTCATATTTCTAAAGGCTGATTCTTATAAAAACTTGTACCATCCACACAGAAAGGGGAGATGTCAGCTGGCTTGAGGAAGCCACAGGATTTGCAGAAGTATAGAAAATCTTTTAGAGGGGAGAGTATTGCTCAGTAAACACATTACTTTAAGGGTACTTCCTCATGACCATGTTAACATGCATTCCTCCCATCCTTGAGTCAGTAGAAGAGTAGGTCAACACCTACTGCCCTGCTTCACTGTGTCTCTGCAGCAAGGCTGGGCAGTGATACTGAACTCACAGATTCAATGCAGGACACTTTTAGGGTAGCAACTGGTAGAATCCCCAGCATTCTTTATCCTCCCACTCAAAGTCTCCTACTAATGAGAAAAAATACACCAATTGGTCCTTAACATGTGCCAGGGCAGAGCT